CCAGTCGTACTTTTTTGTCAAATTGAATTCTCAATTTGCATTTTCTTTTGGGTAATTTATCATAACTCACGTCTAATACATCAATTTCATCCACTTTCATATTCCTGGCAATTTCCACCTTGCTAAATTTTTTTTTAAAAAAAATCTATTTGTTTTCGATTTCATCAAAATCACACGAGATTAAGTTTAGAAGGTACTTAGGGTAATTACAGATGTTTCTTTTAAGTGTCCACCAAATACAGCAATTATTATATATGTAGTTAAACGTATGAATTGTAGTCTTCTTAATAATATAATATTGAACAATTCTTACTACTTTGAATTATTTCTTCAATTGAGTGAGGCCTAAAATTTATTTTCTTAATAGTAGTCTAACACTTTCACAAAACAAAAGCATTGTGGTTCTTTCTTTCAAAAGAATTAAACTTGACATTGGGAAAAAATTAATATATTCTCTTTGATTTGTCGGCATAACCACCTTTTCATGTTAACAAATCTGCAAGATTTTATTTAACTGACGTGCGGTTGCTCGTGCTACCACCGTTGTCAATGTCTCAAGAGTCAATTGAACAAAGAGGTGGATCCACGATTATAAGTTTGTATTACGATTTTAAATTATAATTATAATTAGGCAAGATATGGCGCAATTTTAGTTGATCGAGGACATGACTCTTGATAGAAAGGTATGGAGGTCGAGAATTAGGATAGTAGAGTAGGTAGTCTAGAGTGTTCATAACAGTAGTATTGACACGCAGTCTCGCTTAGCTTTCCGTTGGTAGTAGATTTTTATGACTAACCGTTGTTTTCTTTCATTGTTGATCACCTTACTATCTTGTTGCTTATATTCTGGTTTTATATGGCTCTTTAGTACTCCCTCCCTGTCTATATTTTCATTTATGTGGTGCTCAGGCTTAGGCTTCCTGAGCCGAGGGGATCTATTGAAAATAGTCTCTCTATCCTCACAAGGTAGGGGTAAGGTCTGCGTACACACTACCTTCCCCAGACCCCATGTGTGGGATAATACTGGGTATCTTGTTGTTGTATATATATATATATATTGAAACAACGGTTATTAAATTCATGTGAAACTGTATTTAATACTGTAGATCGGCCCCTTCAATTTAGTATAATATATAAAGTTTACTAATAATTTTTTCAAGATTCTTTTATACATTATCTCAATCTTGGTTGTGTGATATACGGTTAATTGTACAATTTTGATCTGTTAATAGATCAATCTAACACTTGAAGATAGTTTGGTTATTTTTGGCATTTTAAATAATTAATCTTCCATCTGCTCCACCGACCTAAAAGTTAGAGTATAGACTGAAAATGATTACAATGAAGAATGTTTTTTTTTTTAAAACTTGTTTTTCCTTTCTGTTTTATGGGACTGGTTGTATATATTTGACGGGTTGTTTGCTTTAGTTTCAAGTTTCAATCCAAGTATCATGGTTTCTTACTTTCTTGTGATTTGTTGTTGGAAAAATTGGTTATGGAGAATAAGAATTAGCTTGAGGTGTGTCAAGGACATTGTTTTTAAGGATATTTTGTTTACACAATGACGAATAAAATTAGGCGTATCCCCCGAATTCAACAAGATCTTCCAGTTATAAAACTAGAAACAGAACTAGCAGAAAATTCAACAAAGAAGCCCAACGTGTAAGAAGAATAAAAAGATTTAGAAGGTTGTGTTATAAGAAAGTATGCCTTAAGCTCTTCATAGACCATATTTATATAAGCGTTGCTCCAATGGCTAGTATGGCTAGTTTAACTCTATTGAATGTAAAATAATTTACTAAATAATAAGTAAATGTAAATAACATTTCAAACAAAAAAAATTTTCCAAACCAAGATAAACATTACCTTTTGAGATATCACTAATTTTCCCGTGAACCAAGGTTTTCGAGTCTTGGAACCTTTTCTACGAGTAAATGATTAGCAAAAGGGGTTAATTCTTCAGTTAAAGGGAGAAATATAATTAAAATATAGAGAGACATCATAAAGTTGGAGAAATGATGATGCCAAGAAATTGGAAAGGAAAATCTTTCTGGGTTATTATGGATTGCAAATCATTATTCTTTTGCTTTGAAAACGGATTAACTGATACCGAATCTGTTTGATATCCTAAATTAACGAGCTACAATCACAACATGACCTAAAGAATTATGCATGACATGTGTGATGTGTAACATATGTATGTAAGACTAACTGATTCGATTAATTTAAATTTGCAAATATTGACCCATCAATGTGACAAAGCACTTCATATCGAGCTAATTCGATTAATTTAAGGTTAATGACGGGTAGGGACATTAAACTGATAAATGACCTTTATACAGAAACGTTTTACATTTTTGAGGCTCAAACCTGAGACCTTTAGTTAATAAGAACGAACAGATATATACCAACCATTTTGCACTTAATTAGATTGGAACGTGTGGTTCACTTATGCTTTATTTGTATTTCCTTCGATCCACTTTAATTGATTTTTTGGGCATTTTTTTGTGGTCCCCAATATTTGAGTTTTTCATATATCAAGAAGGAATTAACTTATTTGTTTCAAAGTTGCCCTTGGAGTAAAGAGCCTAGGAGTATTTGTTATATTTTCGATGAACAAATTAAAGTTAATATAGTTAATTTCATAGTTAATTAATGCTTAAAAGTTGAATTGCTTAATATGTGTGAAAACAATAAAAAAATCAACTATAATGGACCCGACGGAGTACGCCGTAGTTACTTTTATTTATGATTCATTTATGTGTTCTCCGTATGTTCATTACATGTATTTGCGGAAAATTAACTAAAGAGAAAAGACTTGCATTTATGAAGAAAATACATGCAATTTTGACTTAAAGGAGAAGGTTAGATGAGGAAAAGTAGATGGGGAAGTAGGGGAATGTTAGTTTTAGAAGACAGGTGAAAAGTAACTATCAAAAAATAATAATGGTGAGGAGAAAAGCACTAAAGTTGATAATAATGAAACACAAAATAAAGTGTATGAAAACAAAAGGTCTCATGATATTGTTGGTTTGTTGAGTCGAAGACAAGAGAGAAATTAAAGATATAGGGCCCAAAAAAAAACCTAAAAAGAGACTTTGATGAGTGTCCGGACACTTTCTTTTAATGTGGTTCGTTGATGAATGCCATGGCTTGTTTAATCAGCTTAATGTGTTGACAAATTCAATATCTATTTTAAAGATTATCCCACCTCTATTTGTCTCTTCTCCCTTATTGACAGGGGCGGAGCCACAATGTTGTTATTGAGTTCGGCCAAACTCAGTAGCTTTTGTTCGAATCCTCTATTTGCAGGGGTGGATTTAGGGGGACGGAAGGGGTTCACTCGAACCCTCTTCGCCGAAAAATTACACTGTATATAAGGCAAAATTTGTTTTTTACCTCTATATTAAGTTTTGAACCCCCTTAACACAACCCAAAAGTGTAGTTTAGTGGTTAAGGGGGTTCAAAATCTTCCTAATATCATAGGTTCAATTCTCACTAGCTACAAAAATATTTTTTTGAACCCCATTCGTGGAGATCGTGCCTCCGCCACTGTCTATTAAACTGTCCCCGCTCTCTCTCTATCTATTTGGCACTTTGTTTATTTCAGGCTGAAAACTTGACCCAAATCCAGACTGGAGTTATTGAATTTATTATGGATGGACATAATCCAACACTCCAAAAATGGACGGGATATTTAAAAAAGAAATTAAGAAGAGAAAGATTATATAAAAACTACTAATATTCTACATTTTATAAACATTTTACACATGATTTCTGACTTGAGACACATCTAGTTGTACACACACTCCTCTACGTTTGATAAGTTAGTATTTCATATTGCTCCAGGCTAAGTATTGTTTTCTAAGATTTTTGCTCATTCATTTAAAAGTTATGTACTAACATTAATCATAACCGTTATTTGATTAAATTTCCTTGATTCTCCTCAATTACTTTCTCTCTCCTGAGATTGATATTTTTCTAAAAATATTTTTTCAGACCTTTTTAACCATTTATTGAAACAAGGGTCGAATTGAAAAAAGATACTAATATTTCTTAATTTTCTAAAGCGATAATTATTTTGGATCAAAATCTTTTGGCTCAAAGACACTAATCATGAATTCAGAGAGAGTAATTTTTTATGACACAACTTCCCTTTTAAACAATTGTCAGCATCTTTTTTTCTTTTGTTTGACAAGCAACCGGTAGAATAACATGAGATTTATTTGATGTAAATGTTGGGTATATTAATATTTACTCTAGAGTGTAGTGACACATTTTATTTTCTTAGTAAAATGAGCAGACAAACATGACTTTGTGTTAGCAATCCGTGCATAATAAAAGCACACTCGTCTTCATCTCTTCACTTTGGGTAATTTATTGTTAAAATATCATGGTATAGCCACTTTTTACACTGGTCAATGAAAAATAGCCAGCGTTTATCAAGTCAATGAAAAATAGCCACTATTTTGCTGCAACAGGGACCGCGTTCCAGTATTAAATATATGGGAGTTCTGGTGCATTTGTGTACGAACTCCAGCATATTATGCTGGACCGGTATACTTTGCTAACTCCTGTAAAATTTGCGGGAGACTGGAGCACCAGTGCTCCAAACTTCAGTATATTATACTGGACAATTATACTTGCTGGAACTTCCGTAAAATTTGCGGGAGTTCCAGCATAATTATGCTTGAACTCCCGTAAAATTTGCGGGAGTTCCAGCATAGTTATCCTGGAACTCCCGTAAAATTTACGGGAGTTCAAGCATACTTATGCTGGAACTCCCGTAAAATTTGCGGTCGTATTTTTCCGGATTTTGAACAGATTTTCGCTCAGATTTAAAGTTGCTAAATTTCGATGACTTTTGAAACTTGGCTATTTTTCAACGACCAGTGGTAAATCTGGATATTTTTGAATTTCTCCCTAATTTATTGGGCTCAGTTGTTTCGCGTAGGCCCATATATTCTAACAGGCTAGCCTGTGATACAATCTCATTTGGCCCACATAAACTCTATAACTGTCGAACGAAATAGAATTGGGCCACACTTCCACCATCACAGCTCGTGAGTTCGCTCTGATCGCACAGTTCGCAGTGACTCCTCTGCAAAGGTATCAGAATTCTAAAGCATTCTTCCCTTCATTCCCTGTTCGTTCATCTCGCTACTGCTATTACACTTGCTTGGTTGCCACCCTAGAAAAACTACGTGTCCCTAATTAAGTTGTTTTGGTGTAGCCGGGCATATGCATGTAGGGTGTTCGATGAAATGCTTAGCTGAAAATTTAAGTGTTAGACGTCTTGGATTAAGTACTTAAATGGTTTTTCCATAACTTGCTTGCAGCTTTCTTTGGGAAATTTTGGTGTTGAGAGGAAAACTTAACTTATCTGAAGACTATCTATGGAGGGGGAAGAGGATCAGGTGAAGAAGGAGAGGGTGGTAGAGGCAAGAGCAAGAAATATCAGCCACAATGTCAGGTGTACAGAGTGTGGCAGCCAGTCCATTGAAGACTCTCAAGCTGACATTGCCATTCTCCTCAGGAAGGTATCTCTTCTGTCTTACATTTTCACTCATTTGAATCACTAGTTTCCACAACAACTACTATTCTAAGCTAGCTGAGGTCTAATTCTCACTGATAATGTCGCTCCATTAGGCCCTTATCTGTCAAATTTTTAAAAGTTATGTTCTTTATGACCTATTTCCACAGTTCTACCAAAAATAAATTTTTAAAAAAGGTATAATTACGAACTAGCTCTGACCAACATGTGTGTGCTGCTGATGGGTATTTAGGCTAGTCGAGTTCCTGTATCCGGCATTCTGCATATTCCTACTCTCTTGCTGTTATCATTGGCTTTATGTGATGAGGTAATAAATAGGTGTAGAAAGAAAATTCAGCCAGATGCACTTTTTAAAGTTAGTGGATTCAGAGTTCGTGCGTGCAACCTTATATATATAACTCGAGTAGAAGGCAGTGGACGTAAAATTACAACGGTTTGATTAACATAGGTTGATGCAAGATTTAGAGTTAGTTAATTACAAGTTACAATGTTGAGGATACAGAAGATACTTGATAATTTAGGTCTAGACTCTAGTTTCTATGCAGCAATTTACCAATCATTTCGGATAACAGTCAAAGAACAATTTTCAGCATTGTTTCTCCATAGAACTTCACATACGGCCCTTAACAGTAAATAAATTTAAAAAAATCACATACAGTCCATTATACTCCCCTCCAGCCACCATATCCACCTTTATACTTCTCTATTTCATAACAGATAATCAGCCATTTCAGGTAGAAGAAAAGGAAGACAAGACAGTTATGAGCTGCATTCTGTATATCTTACATTACTTTTAATATTTCTTTAATTTATTCTCCTCTTAACAGAAAAATCTTACCAAATATGTGCAGCATTCACTGCTGAATAATAATGACACCCTCTCCACTTCCACTAGTTGTTCATAAACATGAACTTTTATCTGCAGAGTAATGCTATGTGTCTGTATCCATTTATACATATCACCACTACACATAAAGAGACTATATAGGAATCAGTAACTTCTGTGTTCCAGCAAACAGAGTTTATGTTGCTTGATTTTCTCTTTTTGTTCTTTCCCATCAAATTAAAGGTATTTTCCAACTTATGTCTTGCATGTAAATATAGTCTGGACAGTGTTTTTTTATTCTTTTTTTTGGGATAACGCTGAGGGTCTATTGGAAACAGTCTCTCTGCCCTAAGTTATTCCAACTTTTGGACGTGGTTGTTGACTTGGGTCATCTTTTTAGCTAATTCGGGATGAAATTCGAGATGGGAAGTCTGACAAGGAGATCTACAGAAAGCTTGAGGATGATTTTGGTGAGACAGTACTTTATGCCCCAAAATTTGATATGCAGACGTCTGCTTTATGGCTCTCTCCGGTCAGTTAAAGTTTGCTCTCTACCTCTGCTTTGCTCTTTGAAAAATTATATTAATAGACAGAGGCGCTGAAGTTGTTTGAAATTTTTTTCACACAGCTACTAGTTGCTGGGGCTGCTGGAGGCATGTGGGCTTACAAGAAGCACAGGCAGAAGACTAACGTGCACATTATGGTTCTGAATCTCGTTCGAGGATTTCCATTAACACCAAAGGAGAAAGAAACTATGCTTGAGGTCCTCACACCCCCTCCTGGAGGAACTTCGTCCTCCAGTTGGTGGAGAAGATGGCTTCAACAGTGAAAGTTTCTTTAACCTACCATCACTTGTAGTCTATTTTTCTGCTGTAATATCTCAAACTGCCAGCTAGTCGAGGTGCCACCCTATCCATCATTTCGCATTGGCGTGTTTGAATTGGTCATTGTGATTACACATTTTTCCAAGGTTATACCCTGAAATAAGTTATTGATCTTATTGTACAAAAAAGTACAACTTGATCATGAGCTGACTTCACAATAATGCTTCTAACATTATTTTGTGATAGAGTATCTTAGTATATATTATTCCATTTGTCTTCCATTCCTCTCAACTGCAAAATAATCTCCTCTATCAGAAGTTGACTTCTGTACTATAACTAGCATTTAACCACAATCTCTAGATGCTGTTGGACTTTCAACTACCACGGATATATTGAAGTTATTCGCATTCACGCTACGGAGTGTTAGAAAGAAGTTGAAAAAAGAATATTATCGCAGTTTCTTGCCCATCTATAAATTACAAAATGAGCAAAACAAAGACAATTGACTTAATCATACCAACGACTTTCCAGTGCGCACTTGCCCAACAAAAATCGGCTAGTTGCATGTGACCTTAGCCAACTTGGCCTTAAAGCTTATAATAGCATAGTATTGAATTGAATTCAATACAATGGAACCCTTTTTCCAATTCGGTGATTAGATAAAAGTCTAAATGGTAGTATAATAAAGGGGAATGCCATTGACTACAGCGGATTTGAAGTGTCTAATTGATTAGTTTTTCAAAGTCTACGCAAGCTTTCTTCTTGCTTATCAAGTATATGACCAAATCCTTTGATAATAGGTGAATTTGACTATAATCACACCTTAAATAATCACCTTTTTGTGTAGTTTTAATGCTAAAAGTGATGACAAAATGCTCTTATTAGTGTTTTTCACGATTTGTAGGTGATATATGTATAAGGAAGGCTAAGGAGCAGTTTTGGAGTTAAAAGTGATGAAAAAGAGGCCAACTGTGAAATTTCCCAAGTGACCCATGCTAAACAGGCCGAAGATTCAGAATACTGGATCCACCGCGGTTCCACCGCGACCGCGGCAGAACCGCGGTGGGAAGCAGCTGCAGAAGATTGAGAATCCGCGAGGGTGTTTGGCCGCGGTTCTACCGCGACCGCGGCAGAACCGCGGTAGGCGCAGAAAATTCGGGGACCAAAGTGTCAATTACGGGAATTTTAGACCTAAAACCTATTTAAAACACTAGACTTCGCCCAAGAGAGGCATGTATTGATTTTTTAGGTTTCTTAGCAAGGAAAAATATTGTGAGAAAATACTCTAAACATCTTTCTTCTTTTCTTTTGATTTTATGATGAATTCAAGCTTATTTTATTTTCCCATAGCCATGAGTAGCTAAATTCCTTGTCTAAGGCTTTGATGGAACCTATTGGGTGATGAACTTCTTGTTTATGTGAATACAAATTGCTAGTTTAATCTTTATTTGTTCAACTTCGTGTTCGTTGTAGTTAATTGACAGGATACTCAATTAGCTGTGCCTATTTAGTGTGCATAACTTGGAAAAGAGTGCATATTTAGGGTATTGTTGAACAACACCACTCCTAGATTATTAGAGGAATCTATAATTGCGGGTTTAAAGGCGGAATTAGGAATAACGAAGCCTTGGGTGCAATCTAAATTGAATTGTGCTAAATAAAGCAAGCTAGTGTATCTCGGGAGAGTGCAATAGTAGATTACTGTGATTACTCGGGAGAGATTTGCGGTAAGATTAGCGTTCATGATTGATAGAGATGTGTGGGTAAATTTGTATGAGCATAAACAGAAGGGATTCCATCAATAGGGGAAATCATTGTCTTAGCTTTGTCCCATAATTGTTTACAACCTTATTAATTTAGTTACAGCCATTTAGTTACTTGCAAGCTAGTTGTTAAAGAACACTCAACTGAGAATTTGAATATTTGAGAAGCTGGTTCTGAATACTTGGTGGGTCTAAAGATAGCGGTTGATAGGTTAACTCTCTGTGGATTCGACCCTGGGCGTAATACTCGGGTTATATTTGCAACGTCCGCATTGTCCTTTTTATAAGGCATAGTTGGGCATGATCATCCTTCAAAATATATAAGGACTTCATTTCTCTTCTTCTTACTCAGACTCCAAAGCTTAAGATACAATGGGTAGAATTGATTCCTCTAATGAAGTTGAAGATCCTCAGCCAGTGGCCGGTGTGCCAGCTGCCTCCTATCATGCAAAATATCAAGGAGCTGTACACACACCAAAACAAACACTAACAGGAGTTCCGTGGAGCACTGGCTTATTTGATTGTCATTTGGACCAAATTAATGGTAAATTATTTACACTTTCTCCTTTACCATGTATAATCTCAGTGTCAATCAAGTCTTACCATGGAGTAGTGTATCACGTAAAACTTTCACTGTCAGAGGGTGTGATGGAATGATAAGAATTCCTCATCGCTTAACCGGATGTCTCAGTTTGAGTCCTAGGAATGGGGTCCTTTTTGGTAGGAAGCGCTAATTACCCCATAGTGGACTTTTATCTGGCGGAAGTAATAACGATATTAACATTCTTGTTTGTGTGCAGCTACTACGACATCATTTTTACCTTGTTTGACGTTCGGGCAGATAGCTGAAGTTGAAGATGCAGGAGAAACGAGTAACCAAATCATCTTAAATTCCATTTGATTTGTATTCAATTGCCTTGTAAAAGAAGTGTGTAATTAACTCTTTATGATTTTTGGATGGTGGTTGCAGCGTGTCCATTGGGGACTTTTATGTACCTCTTGATGATGCCAGCAGTTTGCTCTCAATGGGTTATGGGCTCCAAGTATAGAACAAAACTGAGGCAAAGGTACAATCTGGTGGAAGCTCCCTATTCAGATGTAGTTTCTCACATCTTTTGTCCATGTTGTTCACTTTGTCAAGAGTTCAGAGAGCTTCGGATTAGGGGCCTTGATCCAGCTCTAGGTATGAAATCATCCTTCCTATTATGGTTCTTTTTAGTCACAGGCCAATCTAGGAACTAGAGTCAGTGAGTACAGAATAAACTATTTTATTACTATATGTATGCACGGAAACAACCTCTGGCAGAAATGCAGGGTAAGACTGCATACTATAGACCCTTATAGTTCGGCCATTCCCCGGATCCCGCGCATAGCGGGAGCTTAGTACATCTGGGTGCCCTTTTTTTTTTTTTTTTTTATATATGTATGCATTTTAAATGTTTTGTTTTGCGTCAGAGTACATGGTTCAAGCCAAAATAACGGGTTCAGTTGAACTCACAAAACCCGCCCTAGATCAGTCTTTGTGCTTATTACAAGTAACATTTTAAAGAGAAGCAAAAAATTTGTAACATGTATGTGTAAAACTTACTGCAGGTTGGAATGGCATACTTGCTCAGCAGCAGTATGGGAACCAACAAATAAATCAAGCTCCCCCAGTACAATCCATGTCCAAGTAAATTGAAGAGTGATTTGTCATTGTTTAATTTAAGTTTGTAGTTTTTAGTTTTTACTCCTTGTTTCCAAAGTTTTCCATGTTTGAAGTTTGCATCCTTTCACATTTGCTATTGTAGTATTTTTCCCATTTCAATTGGATTCTTGATTTTACTGAAAGAAATGCCTCTAGCCCCTATTCGTTGTTTTTGCAAACAAACACTGTTAAATGTACGAGAGCTCTCAACTGAATCCCTTCTCCAAAATATGTATACATTGTACTGTTTCTTTTTGCTTAAATATCCACTGGTTATTGAGCAAAAATCAGACCTTTTGGGCATAATTAGGAAAAGAATAACTCCATTTTTTCATCTTTTCAATTAAACAGCGCATGCAAGAAAAACAGATCACCCTTCCTACATTTATAACAAAAAAGAAATGAAACAGGTGCAAGTGCAACTATCTTCTCTTTCTGCTTAATAAAATGTAGTAGTATCTTTTTACATAGTCAACATGGATTTTTTATTAAGTCAACAATGGATTAAATTCAGCGGTTCGTGCCTGCTAATTGTGACTTGACGTCTTGACCATTAATTATTATTCGAAGAATTACGCCGTGGTCGTCCCAGAAAAAAAAAAGAAAAGGAAATGACAAACACATGTTATGTCCCCGAAAAGGGTAAATGGAAAAGAAATTAAGAAAATTAGCTCCCATTTGATCATGGATTTTGGTTATTTTTCTCAGAAAAAATTTAAAAATATTATTTGTTCATAAAAAATTTTAAAAACTCGTTTAATGCAATTTTTTGTTTCCTCCACTTATAAAACTTTAATATTTTTCAAATATATATATATATATATATAATATATATATATAAAACTTTAACTTCCAAAAATTATTGGCAAAATACATAAGTAGCCACTTGAACTATACACCAAATCCCTGTTACACACTTTGGAACTAAAAGCACCTTACACACCCAACCTTTCTAAAGTGTGTCTAAGAAACACCAATTTTGTTACGTGGCAGGCGCGTGTGTGACAACAAAGATAAGAGCGTGAACCCTTTAAAAAGGCATTCCCAAATCTGTTTAAGTGCCACGTATCAGAATTTTATATATACTCTTTTTTTATTAGTGGGTCCCATAACCCAACCCTCTCCTTCTCTTCTTCTTCCTCGTAACCCCTCCCCGTTTTCTTCTTTGTTTTCTCCCAGCCCCTTCTTCCTTGTTTCATCTTCTTAACATGTAATCTACTAATCTATTAAATCCAATCATAAATAATTAATCAAATAACTTGTTGTAAATTTTCTTTAAGAGTGGCTACAAAAATTATTTTGCTTCTTTTTCTACCATTAAGACCCACTTTACATAAATCGAAAAAAGACTTATTTTTCTTGAAAATAGCTGAAATTATACGATTCTTTAGTTCTATTTCCTTTATCTTCAAGATTCGTTACTATTATGACATGTTTATCATGGAGAAAACATTTTGGTTGGCGATGGAGGAAAACGAGAAGGGTTTAGTAGGTAGAGATTGTGTTTATTGTTGGTGGTGGGGTGGTTCTGAGGGGGTGGTTGGGGCATGAGGGAGTTTGTGTTGACATACACATAGCCCCAGCCCAATAGCTAGTATGTTTAGTATTTCAGTTTTGTATCACTTAGTAAGATAGCCTCTTTTATATTTGATCGTAGAGCCATTCCATGTAAGATATAAATACTGAGGACCATTTTAGAAAGGGCAGATTATTTATTTTAATAAAAAAGATCACATATTTTCCATCATTTCTCTCTCTCTCTCTCTCTCTCTCTCGTTCTCTGAAAATTAGGGTATTTCCACCATGGAAATTCCCTCTTAGCTTCCGCAAATTCAACTGTTAACATGGTATCAGAGCAGGACATGAGTTCCTATCCTCGCTTATCTTCATCCGGTTGTACCCGTATAGTTCGTTGTTTACAATTTTTGGTTTTATTGAAACCCTTGTTTTGATTTGGGGGTTTTCTTCGACTGAGACGAAATTCGATCTGAGCTATGGCTTTCCGAAGGTCTAATGACTGTTCGCTGGTGGCGTTCCTCTGATTTCGACTGATATTCCGTCTTCTTCTTCAGAATTTAGTCTATTTTGAAGGCCTTGTCTTTTTTGGGTAGTGAAAAATGACGGTACTCTCTTCTCTATTCTCTAACTACATGCTTCAATTTCTGGTAAATTTCTACCGTGATTGAGAATTTTGGATACATAATGGCTGATGAATATGTGAATTCCTCTAATCAATCCGATGGTTTCACTATATTCACTTTAGATCCCTCATATCCTCTTTATATTCATCCCTCAGACAATCCTGGCACTCATTTAGTATCTCCTCCTTTTGATGGTACTGGATTTGTTGCCCGGCGTAAAAGTATGCTAGTTTCCCTTTTTGCAAAAAAAAAATTGGACTAATTGATGGTCGTCAGTCTAAACCTTCTAATGACTCACCTTATTATCCCTACTGGGAAAGGTGCAACGATATGGTGGTCGCCTGGATCACTAGTTCCCTTTCTAGAGACATTGCAACCAGTGTTCTAGGTTATGATATTGCAAAAGAGATTTGGTTGGACATAAATGAGAGGTTTGGTTAGTCTAATGGTTCCAAATTCATTCAGATACAAAGGGAAATTGGAACCATTTCCCAGGGTACCTTAGACATAGCCTCTTATTTCACAGAATAGTCTTTGGGATGAGCTTAAGACTGCTTATGTAGGTCCTACATGTTCATGTGGCGCTCTACCCAAATTTCTTGATGAAATAAAACTGTTTTGGTTCTTGGCTGGACTGAATGAGTCATATAACACTGTCAAGAGCAACATCCTCATGATTTCACCACTCTCATTAGCTAGTAAGGTCTATTCCATGTTATAACATGTTGAGAGACAAAGGGAAACATCCCGGCTCTAAAATTTTCCAATGATTCTGTCTCTTTCTCTGCGCCCTCTACTCTTTCAACCTATTCACAAAATCCCAGTGGGCAAATATCATTCAATCAGAAGATCCAATTTGAACCAAAGAAACCTAGACAACCCATGCTATGCAGATACTGGAAAAACCAGGTCATACCATTGAAAAATGCTATAAACTCTATGGGTTTCCTGCTGATTTCAAGTTCACCAAAAATAAGAGATCAGCCTACTGTATTCAAGCTGAAGGTACTACTTCTACCCCATTGGCCTTATCTATGGAACAATTTTCACCGATCAACCATGGATTCACTACAGAACAATATCAACACCTACTTATCCTCTTGAAGCAGTCACACATCTCTTATGGAATCTCAAGTGATTCTCATTCTGGAGACAATCATGCATATGCCCACTTTGCAAGTTTGTTTTGCAGTTCTGTAGTTAAGTCTATGGATTTCCATGCTTGTGCATCTTCACAATTAAATGTTGGTACTTGGATTCTAGACTCAACGGCTACTAACCACATGACATCTCACAAATACCTTCTACACAATCTTCAACCACTAACTATACCTTACTTAATCACTTTACCAAATGGCTATAAAGTAAAAGTTGTATCTATTGAATCTTTACAACTTAGGTCTGATATTGTGTTACACAATGTTCTACTTGTTCCATCTTTTCAGTTCAACTTAATATCAATATATCAACTTCTTTTACAACTTCGTTGTATTGCAGTTCTCGCTACTTCCCATTGCTTTTTACATGGCCCTTCTCTGAAGAGGCCACTAGGAATTGGTAAGGCTGAGAATGGATTGTATTTTCTTCATCTTAATCATAGTACTTTAGTTTCCTCTTTTCCATTTGATGTTTCATGTAATATTTCATCTTATGTTCCTACTGTTTCTCCCGTTTTCAATTCTGTCAATCCCCTTCCCATTAGTCCCTCATGTAATCCATCTGTTGATATTAATAAGACAGATTTATTTTGGCATCAAAGAACGGGTCACATGCCTTTTAATAGAATGAAATCTATTCCTTTTATTTCCTCACAAATTTCTTCTAAACAATCCTTCCTATGTCCTATCTGTCCTATGGCTAGACAACAAAGGTTGCCATTCTCTGATAGCACTACTCATTCTACTGCTCCTTTTCAGTTGATATCTGGGGACCTTATAACACTGCCACATATAATGGTTTTAGATACTTTACTACTTTAGTGGATGATTACTCTAGGGTAACCTGGACTCACCTACTTTCTAGCAAAAGTAATGCCCTGTCTATGCTTAAAGCTTTCACTTCTATGGTACAGACTCATTTCCACACTTCAGTTCAGACCTTCAGGTTTGATAATGCCTTTGAACTAGGTTCCAGTCTAGAATCCAGATCTTTCTTTTCTTCCCAAGGAATCCTACACCAGACCACTATTCCCCACACACCACAACAGAATGGCGTTGTGGAAATGAAACACAAATATCTCTTAGAAACTTTCAGAGCCTTATTATTTCAATCCAACTTGCCTACTAAATTTTGGGGTGATTGTGTTCTTATATCCACTTACCTTATCAGTAGGTTTCCCTCTACTGTTCTTAACAACATATCCCCTTATGAGAAACTACATGGACATTCACCTACTTATGATTATCTTAGATCTTTTGGATGCCTTTATTTTTCTACCTCTCCTAAACATAGTAGAGACAAATTTCAGTCTAGAGTAATCTCTTCCATTTTCCTTGGCTATCCTTGTGGGAAGAAAGGATACAAATTGCTTAATATATCCTCTCAATCTATCTTCTACTCTTAAGATGTTATTTTTCATGAGCATGTCTTCCCCTTCTCCACTAACTCTTGTAATGCTTCCCTTCCTTCCCCTTCCAGTTTTGTTGACATTCCTCCACATAGTACACTACCTGTTGTTTCTCCTGATTCTGCATCTCCACTTGTTTCTCCTCATATTCCTCCTGATTCTGCATCTTCCCATGTTTCTTCTCCTCCTGCTATCCCATCTCCCATTTCTTCCTCTCCTTCTCCTCTTAGTGATGTTCCAGTTTCATTACCACCATCTTCTGCCCCATATACCTCCTATCATCCTCAATCTATTCCTCCTCTTAGAAGGTCCCTTAGAATGTCCCATACACCTCCTCATCTGGCAGACTTTGCTTGTTCTGCCCCTGTATCTACTGCTTCTAAAATGTCCACCACAAACTTGCACTTGCAAGAGCCTCAATGTTATCAACAGGCTGCTTCTAATCCTGCTTGGCAGGAGGCCATGCTAAAGGAATTTCAAGCATTAGAGGCCAACAACACCTGGGATATTGTACCTCTTCCCCCTAACAAAAAGGCTATCTCTTGCAAGCTGGTGTACAAAATCAAATAGAAATCTGCTGGTTCTGTTGAGAGGTACAAGGCAAGGTTGGTCATTAGGGGTGGCACTCAAAAGGAGGGAATTGATTACAATGAGACATACTCCCCGGTTGTCAAGTTTACTACTATCAAATGCCTTCTATGTCTTGCTATAAAGAGAAACTAGATTGTCTATCAACTTGATGTTAATAATGCCTTCCTCCATGGTGATCTCCATGAGGAAGTACACATGAAGGTTCCACCTGGGATGCAGGTTTCCCCTACAGATTCTTCTCCATTCCCTTTGGTTTGCAAGCTCAAAAAGTCTCTATATGGCCTCAAGCAAGCATCCAGACAATGGTTTTCTATATTGTCTAAGGATTTGTCTACAAGAGGCTACATTTCTAGCATGAATGACTACTCACTGTTCACAAAATCTACCTCTACTTCTCTTACAGTTCTAGCAGTGTATGTTGATGATATTTTACTAGTTGGGATGATGTTGAACTAGACAGTGTTAAGTTATTCCTTAACCAACAATTCAAGATAAAGGATTTGGGGACAATCCATTATTTTCTTGGTTTGGAGGTCACTAAATGTCCTGAAGGCTACATCATCAGTCAACAAAAGTTCACAAATGACTTGCTTGCAGAATTCCATTGCCAAAATTTTCCCCCTGTTGTGACTCCTATTGATACTTATGTCAAGTTGCATGTTGACATGGATGCCCCCTTGACTGATCCCATCACATATAGGAGAATTATTGGCAAACTCAACTTTCTCCTACACACAAGGCCTGATATATCTTTTTGTGTCCAACATTTAAGTCAATTTATTCAGGCTCCTCAAGTTCCCCATATGCTTGCTGCCCTTCATGTGTTAAGGTATCTATCTAATGCTCCTGATTTAGAGACCCTTCTCTCTTCCTCTTCTGATGTTTCTCTCAAGGCCTACTCTAATTCTGACTGGGCTACCTGTGCTGAGTCAAGAAGGTCTGTTTCTGATTTTTATGTTACACTTGGTGGTTCTCCAATCTCCTGGAAAAGCAAGAAGCAACCCGATATTTCATTGTCCTCTGCTGAAGCTGAATACAGGGCTCTCAGAAAGGTGGTTATAAAGGTCTCATGGTTGGTCTGGCTACTGGGTGATCTTGGTTTACATGTTTCTGATCTTGTTCCCATCTACTGTGACAACCTTGCTGCTTTACACATTGCCAAGAATCCAATCTTCTAAGAAAGGACAAAGCATATCGAAATTGATTGTCACTATGTGCGTGAAAGTCTCAATTCTGGGCTGATTTCTCTGCATTTTGTGCCCAGTTCTGCCCAGCTTGCTGATATTATGACAAAGCCACTTCCTGGGCATCTCCATCGTTCTTTCCTTGGCAAGCTTGGTATGTTATCACCCCCAAGCTTGAGGGGGGGGGGTGTTGACATACATACAGGCCCAACCCAATAGTTAGCCCAATAGCTAGTATGTTTAGTATTTTCCGTTTTGTATGATTGTATAGCCATTCCATGTAAGTATATAAATATTGAGGACCATTCTAGAAAAGACAGATTATTCATTTTAATAAAAGAGATTAGATGTTTTCCATCATTTCCCTCTCTTTCGTTCTCTGTAAATTTGGGTATTTCCACCATGGAAATTTCCTCGTAGCTTCGTAAATTCAGCTGTTAACAGTTTGAGGTTTGATGAAGAAGAGAAGAAAGGGAGGAAAATGGGTTTGGTGTTGGAGCGTAGATGGAGGAATCTTATTGTTGTGGTGGTTTCTGATTTATTGTAGCCGCCATTGTGTGGTGGCTACTGATTTATGGTGGCTGCCATTGTTATAGCATTGGTTGTAGATACCTTGCAAAAGAGAAAGAGAGGAGAGAAGGTGCCAATGGATATAATTATAAATTTAAGTATTTTTTTTTTTTAAAAATTATTAACACGTGTCATGACCTTATTGATGCGTGATGTTACACATATTCTCAAGAACCGGTCAAGAAAAAAATTGGTGTGTCTTAGATACCCTTTAAAAATGTTGATTGTGTAAGCGTAATTTTCGTTCCCAGAAAATGTGTATTAGGAATTTAGTTTATAGTTAAGGTGGCTACTTATCTATTTTGCCAAAACTATTTTTAACACAGCTTTAAGAATTCCAATTTCAAGTTCATCCCTACGCGAATTCGTAGTTCTTAATAAAGTACTTGGTTGTCTTGTTCGGAGTTCAAATACCAGTTAACCGTATCTGGCAGCACGAGAGATATAACCGGCTAAACCCCCCGCTATTTGCTCTGTTTTCTTCTGCGTACAAAACATTTTGAGGTGTCTCCGATAAAAACCCCAAACCCGACACCGCCGGCGGTAACGATTTTGGACTAATGGAGGAAACAGAAAATTTAGGGGGCCGCCACGTGGAGTAATGACAACCAAAACAGTTGGATGGCCATAAATTGATTACGTTTTTAGGTCGTTCCTTGTTGGGGTTGTTGCTTGTAGTAATAAAACTTGCCAACTAAAAACATGAGCTCATTTAAGTTACTCAACCACTTTCACACCCTCAGGTCGTCTACACCTCTGTTTTACTCTCCATTTCGCTTCACTTTGTCTCTTCGATATTGTTTTTCTTCTCATAAAAACCCTATTTTTCGCTCCTCCCAATCTCGGTTATTCTCTTCCGGTAAGTTTTCGTTCTTGATCGAAGCTTGTCGATTTTAATTCGTATTTTCTGTGTTTACTTCTGTATGTGTATAGATTATCTTAGCCATGTATATGCTATCACCCGATCAAAATGGAGATACTTCAACTGTATGATTTGGTGATTGAAATTTATTGACATTTTTGGGGGTTGGAAAATGGTTTAGGGACCAGAACCCTGAAATTTTCTGAAACTGGCGGAGTGGAATTCAATGAGATTGATTTTCTTGCCGTGTGGTATGGCACTGTTTATCAATTAAGCTTAGACTTTGCTCAAGCAATCTTGGCTACTGAGTTTATTAATTAGTAGTACGAAATGACTAATTTTGCAAACTAGTAAATGAGTCAGAAACATGGAAAAGAAAAAATAGTACGTATTGGCCATTTTCAAAATTTCATGCATTTGATTGGCTCTTTTACTCCCATGAAATTCTTTGAAGATAATATATCTAGTGTTAAGGTTAGACATTTTTTATTGGGATTTTTACACAAATAGCCAGCCATATTTACTGTTTACTTTTTTTTAGCCATATACATAGATTATACATTGACTATACACAATTATATACACACATATATTATACCTCCACCGTCTATTTTTAGTTTAAGTGATTGGATGGACGGCTATTTGAGTTAATTCTTCTTTTTTATTTGATTTTTTTTCCTTCTATTTGATCTCTTAAATGCCTTTGATGACTAGTTGCATCTGGAACAATCTTCTGTATTCTTGGTGTACTTTTGGTATTGTTTGCTGATTATCACACGCAAAGGTACACTATTGACCCAGGATTACCTTGCGTGCTGCATATCTCCTGTTCTTTTGTGCTTCAAAACGTTAGAGATGGCTGATACTGATATGAAAATTTAGATAATTTTCGTTTGCCTACTTTCATATTACAGCTTCAAATATTAGTAGCTATATGGAGCTGGTGAAAGAAGTTGCCAGCAAGGGACCTGAGTCCCAGGAGAATATTGCAATACGAGCTGATGAGAAGAGCTATACTTACCTTCAACTGATATCATCTGCAAGGAGGATATCAAATTTGTTAAGCAACCTGGATCTTAAAATTGTGAGTTTTCACATATTAACTCCTAAATAATTTAAAGCTGCATCTGTCTGCCTTTGGTTATGACTTGAATGGAGATGCTTTCTAGTTTGTTTTAATAGTTGAACATGAATCTTTTTTGCCAGGACACTGTTTTTTCTCCTGTTTACATTGTTCTTCCAATTTCGTAGCAATCTGGATAGTTCCTTCCTGCATTGCCTTACTATTCAAACGCTTCCACCTTTTTAGGGCAATGGCATAAAAAGAAATGTGGATCTTGATGGAGCAAGAGTAGGAATTGTAGCCAAACCCTGTGCTGAGTTTGTAGCTGGAATACTAGGGACTTGGCTAAGTGGAGGTGTTGCAGTCCCTCTTGCGCTAAGCTACCCGGAAACCGAACTGCTACATGTGATGAATGACTCGGTTTGTCCATGAATCTTCTTTCTGTCATTGCTGCTCAGTTTTTCCATGACTCACGAGATATTTGACATGCATAGAAGATGATGCGTTACCCTTTCTCATACTTAACATAAATAATATAGCTTGCATTTGTCTTCTGGTTATTCTTCTAACCTCATACAATTAGGTCATCTACAATCAGGCTTTATATTTTCTTCCACTGCATGAACACAAGGTCCTGGCCACTTATTCTCTTGTTTCATGATTTACAAAAATCCTTGTGCAAATTTGATCTGTAGGACATCTCGGTAATTCTGAGTACTGAAGACCACCAAGACATTATGAACACAATTGCAGTTAAAACTGGTGCCTGTTTGTCTCTTATTCCTCCTATTCCCGATGTCGATTTATCGACCAAGCATGACCCTCCGAAAGATGTGGCGTCTGATGGTCCTAGAAATTTGCCAGAAATGACAAACTGTGGTGAGATAAAGGAACTGTTATGTGTCTTTTGATATGGTTGTTTATTTCTGCATTGAGATTGTTAGAGCTCATCAACAATCCTTTTAATGTTACCTTGCAGGTGAGGATCCAGCTATGATCTTGTACACCAGTGGTACAACAGGGAAACCAAAAGGAGTAGTCCATACACACAAAGGAATTTTAGCTCAGGTTCTTGTCTGTTCTAGATTTTATGTTCTGTATTCTGGTCCTATTAGGAAGTTGTGATAAAGACGACTTTTAAGTTCTTTCTGCCTGGTTGTTTTTTATTAACTTACCTGATGGGAGTGATAACTTAGGTGGATATCTGATGATACTTAAAGTTGGATAAACGGTCTGACTATGCATATATTTAATCTGCTTCTCTGTTACATTTTGCGTTCATGTTCTGTTGGCAATTTGATATGCTATAAATTAAGGCCCAGTAGATGCCATGCCTACAAGAGAGCTTGGTCATGGCTGGTAAATTACACAACTTGCTTTGGATTTTCTTGATCTTCTGTAGTTAGAAAATTTCTATCTAATCTATCATTTCTTAGGATCAAATATTCTGATTATTCTTGTGTCAGTGCATCTATTGCTGAGAGATGATAGTAAACACTTGTTACCACCTAGGATTAATTACGATGAAGAGTTTATGATCTCTCTGACTTGCATAACTAATCTTTTCTTTTCAACTGTCAGTAACTTGGGAGGTTGAAGGTTCTCTTGATTGGAAGTTATTAGTTACTAGAAAGTCAACCTTACGGATCTCAGATTTCTGGAAGTTAACTATTTCCGTCTTTAACTGTTTCAGATTCAAATTTTAGCAGAGGCATGGGAGTACACGTCCAAGGACCAATTTCTGCACTGTTTGCCACTTCATCATATCCTCAGCTGCATTATTTTTTTCTCGGAGATGTTCTGTTGGTGTTTCATTCCTTTGCATTGTTATTTATCTAATGGGATATAAATAATATGATGGAAAGTCTTATATTTTTCTGATCCTTAACTTGTACCTTACATGTGCATGGGCTCTTCAATGCATTACTTGCCCCTCTTTATGCTGGTTCCACGGTAATTACTAAAAGAGAGTTCACAACATCAAACTTATTTCTCCAGCAGCATATGTGCCGTTTGGACAGGATTTTCATGCTACTGCATCTGCTTTTCTTTTAAGGTCGACTTTATGCCAAAATTCAGTGTGAGGGGGATTTGGCAGAAATGGCGTGAATCTTATCCTACAGATGGGACTAAAACTGATAATGCTATAACAGTGTTCACTGGAGTAAGTCGTTCTTTTACTCAATATAGTTTCGTTGAATAAAAATAATGAAATATGGTTGCCATGGGTTGTCATGTTACTTATCTGGTACATTGTTTACAATAAAACCTCTATGTAATATCAGATCTCCAAAGTGTTCATGATTTTGTGGCCATAGCTTGGAGCCTAGGATACATTTTATATACTCGGCTAGGAAATACTAACAACATAGTGTCTACTAACAGCTTTCATTTTTCACAACCACCTTCCCTCCCCCTCCGGCACGCATGCCTGCCAATCCCCTTTTATGATATGTAATTTAGGTTGTTTGTTTTTATTTTACCTTATTCTAAAATTCT